AACTATAGTCCAGCCCCCCAACATTCTGAGGGACCGTGAACTGGCCCGTTTAAAAAGTTTGAGGACCCCTGATCTAGATTATGTGTTTGTATGATGTACCTCTCCATATTCAAAGGAGTTTCATATAACAGATCATGTCTTCCTAGTTATTGTACGTATATCAGTAATGACTGTATTTCTTGATGGGGGGTAGAGGGCAGAAATATTATAAAAGGTCCTAGGAGATTTCTATGGTACAGTATAGCTATCCTTCCAATCCAAAGAGTCGCTTCTGTAAAGTCTGCAAAATAGCACCTAAGCCACATATGTCCACAGTCTATCCAGCTTTCTATTAATTGTTTTGAATGTCAACATGTTTTAACTACATTCAGCCCAGAGGATCAAAAAAAAAAAAAAGTTATACAAGGAAGCTGGCTTCTGTAAAGTCTGCAAAATAGCACCTAAGCCACATATGTCCACAGTCTATCCAGCTTTCTATTAATTGTTTTGAATGTCAACATGTTTTAACTACATTCAGCCCAGAGGATCAAAAAAAAAAAAAAGTTATACAAGGAAGCTTGCTTCTGAAACTCCCAAGAAGATTCTATAAGTCTGGATGGTGTGGCCTTGAAATTAAATAGGAAAAAAGGGGTAAAAAAAAGTTCCTGGAAAATTATTAGGATGGATTCTTTTTCTCTTCCATGTGAGGTATTTCAGTTCCATTTCTGAAAAATAATGACTAAAACATCATCTGATCCATCTCATCTGTTTTCTATATATATTCCATCAGAGCAAAGAAATCACAGTTTTCTCCATTGCTTCAGTTCTTTTGATAAAGGAGAACAGTTCTTATTGGCAAAAGGTAATTGATGTAATAGCTCACTCTCCTTAGACAATATAGTCATTCATTAACATCCCAGATCTCTGAAAGAAGCGGTGGCAGCTTTTTGTCCTGTAGCCGAAGAGCAAACACTTGTTCAGAATGAACACTACTTAAAGTCCGAAGACTGACCAGTTTCATTAACATCCGTGGGAACATTAGATGATCCTGTAAGATCATACACAAATGGCAAAGATATCAGAATGATCAAACGTCTATTCCTCTGTGTTACTTTTCTTATGCAGAATAAGATTAAAAACAATTTGCCTGCCCTTAGGGTTATAACGTTTGAAAGCATAGAACAGCAGAATAGCATTATGGACTGGCCAAAGAGCCTCAAGTTCTATGCTATCACTACAGAATAACTTATTCCGAATAAATTATGGAAATTGTAGGCATATGCTATGCATGTGTTGCATTAGGTATCTGAATCTTAATATTTGCTCTCCAAAGACTCCCTGTACTTCCAATCCTTCAACTACCAATTCTTTTGTTAAAAAAAAAAAAGGTCCCCCACTGCCTCCACAGAACTACACTGCACCCCTTAGCATCAATCACTTTTAGTGATATCAGTGATCAGAAGTTCTAGTCAATAGCTCTAGTCTCTGAGTAAACACACATTCTCTGTTCTTTTTATTCAAAGAATTGAATAAATGTAAAATGGCAAAGTAGCAGCAGCATTGCAGGTAGAAAGTTCAGTTTCAGAAGAGCTTGGATTCAAAACCAAAAAGGTGACTTGCAGTAGCGCCTGCCTGCAACTCCATGAGCAGCTGCTCGTTTCCTGCAGCAGCCCTCTGCAATTGCAACATGTTTCATGGGAAATATGCATTTGGTTTAAAGCATTGCAGATAGATAGCATTTGTGTACCCACAACGTTTGCTTTCAAATCTAATGCACTGCGTAGTCCAAATTTCAAATGGAAAGCACGTCCAGCTAAAAGAATTTCAGGTTCAGAAAAAATTGTAGAACAGCTGTTAGTCAGGATATGGCTACATATTTATTTAATAACTCAGCCATCCTATGCAATCCATGGTGGTCAACTTGAAAGAGGTTCTGTTTTAATCAGATTCTTTCACACATGCACCATTAGCAAATGCAGTCGCTTTCGCAGTTTAGTCAAGACACTTACATTTGGTCTGTGAATACAAATGTATGAGTGAAGGGCTTCTACATAGGTATGCTGCAGCTTTTCGACCAGTGATTGATCTTGAACATTTGGCCGGTCTGTTAAGGAAATAGTTAAACCATCATTTTTTAAATAAAAATAATATATATTTCTTTGTCAAATTTATATGGCCGCCCATCTCACCCAAAGTGACTCTGGGCGGTGTACAATAAAACCAAGAATTAAAACATTTTGCAAACCCATTAAAAGAATAAGCATGGATAAAACAAGATCATGAGAGAGAAGATGTTTACAGACAGTATAACCAGTGTGCAGGCTGCATGTTGGTTATACTGAACGTAAACATATTCCCTCTTGCGGTCTTGTTTTATCCATGCTTATGAGAAGGTCCAGGGAGCCTGTTACCTTTTTTTTGTTTCTGTTGTTTTTTAAAAAAGAAACACACAAGTAGCTGAATTAAAAGCACTTCTGTGGTTAAACTGAAAAATAGTGCCATGCATGTTTCCTCAGACTAGTCTACAACTCTCTAAGCACCTTATAGCTTAGAAATAGCATATAGAATAGCTGCTTCAGGATCACATTTCCCCATCTGCTGTGATTTATCATTTTTTAAGAAAAAATAACTGAGAAAGAATTAGCATAGTTCAGCAAAAACACATCATGTTCAACAGCAAATAAGGAAATGGGGAGAAACAACAATAATATGCTGAATATTAAGCTATGCAAATTCAAATCTCTAAGACAGACGACTTTGAAGAAAATTATTCCAGCCCAAGCACTTTTATATGTACCACATCCACCATCTTGTCTGTTTTCATCCCTCCCTACAGATACCACTAGCCTTGAATTTAAGTATATCATAACACAACCAGCCCATCCAACCTCTTCCCCAAAAGTCCCAGCACCATCCTTCATCTGCTGCAGTGCAACACCACCGACATTCCCTTTCCTAGAACACCTATGCCCATAACATACATTGAACATGGTCTGTACCTGGACTAAGCACACATATTTTGGGTTCAGACAGAATATGTACGTTTTGGGTCAGGCATGAACCACCCAAACCTGGTTATTCCATGAACAGGACATGAGCACACAACCCTAATTGTTATCCATGTCAAAAACATTCCTTAGGACTAACATTTGGGCACCACTGCATAATAAATAAATAAATAAATAAATAAATAAATAAATAAATAAATAAATAAATAAATAAAACATGTTTCTTCTTGATAACCTTTTTACACACATACAAATGCATGCATTCTGTTTTCAATTCAGCTCCCTCCCAGCTGGTTACCTGCAGAAAAAATGCTGATGGCAATTAAAAGTGCATATTCAGCATCACTGAGCTGTAGTTCTTTCATTCTCTTTGAAAATCCAAAGATGGGATTAATAAACTCAATTTGCAGGCCTGGGAAAAAAACAAAAAGTGATTTAGAAGTAGACACAATTTCTATACACTGCCAAACAAATTATATATGCAACTCTAGATAAGAATACAGGTAGTCCTTGTTTAGCGACCACAACTGGGATCCACAACTCAGCTGTTAAGCAAAGTGGTTGGTAAGTGAAATCACAACTGTGCTTATGATCTTACTTCAGCTTTCCTTTGCTTTATAGGCCTGCGAAGGTCATAAATGCAAGGATTGGTCACAAAGTTACTTTTTCATCACCAATGGAACTGTGAACAGTCGGTAAATTGAGGCAGTTGGTAAACAAGGACTACCTGTATTATTAGAAGGGAAGGTCCCAGTCCAATAGAACAGGATAATTCTTCTCCCTTAAGTTACTTCTGAGAACAGGCAATGTTTTTTATTGTATGGCCACATTTCCTGAGGACTAATCAGATGCAGACACTGCCTGGGCTTGAAGCTAACCAAGATTGGGTCTGGTTAATGTTTGGATGGGACAATACCATGGAACATCAGGACTATAGGCCAGAAGTTGAAATAACCTCTAAGGAGGCAATGGCAAACCACTTCCTTACTGCTATTAAGAAAACTGCATGGATGTGTCCATATGATTACCATGATTCAAGCTTGATTCAGGGACATCTTTACTTTAATTGATTGAGAGCCATATAACAATGATGGGAAGACCCAAACAAAACATGGTGGGACCTATTTCCTTCCTGTCTATGCATCCTTCTCTCAGCACTCTTCTTTCATTCTCCCCCACCCCTCAAAACACATGGACATTAGGCTGCATGGAAAGGGATGTGTGAGGAGGTCTGACAAAAGGCTGCTGAAATTAACCTGGGAATGTTATATGGTTCAAAACCACAACTTCTCCACCCCAAATTAGGACATCTACTCTCTCTCTCTCTCTCTCTATATATATATATATATATACTATATATACTCTCAAATAAGCTGAGAATTTTAGGTGCCAAAATACACCCAAAAAATTGGGTTCAGCTTATTGGGGGATGGGTTTATCTGCAAGCATATACAGTAATATTTTTTTAAAATACCCATATATCCTGCATATACTCACATCTAAGCTCATCCATGGATAATCTGACCCTCAATTTTTTAACCAAAATAACCACGAAAAATGGATAATCCATCACAGATAAGACAATTGTGAAAAATTAAAATATATAAACATTTCAAGGGTGACTTATCCACGAGTGGCGCATTTTTCACGGTATTTTGGTTAAAAATCCGAGGGTCAGCTTATTCACAGATGAGCTTATATGCAAATATATACAGGGTGTGTCACACACACACACACACACTCGCATACATACACACCCCTATATTCACAGTGTCATAGATAGTCTGGGATTTCAGATCAAAGAATCTACATAAAAGAAAAAAATACAGAGATGGTTGTTTACTGCCTGGACAGGCTAATATTCATTATTAGAGCACTGTACTTGAAAAAGTGTGAGCAATTAAGAGAAAAAACTAATTATATGCTTCCTGCCAATGCACTTACAAAATTGTATGTCTGTATATATGTATTTATTATACAATTATCCCACCTTTCTTTCAGAAGCTCAGGGTATACACATAGCACAACCTTCTCCAATTTTTCCCCACAACAACAACCCTAAGGGATTGGCTGGATTGATAGTGACTGACCCAAAATCATCCAGTAAGCTTCCATGGCTAAGAGTTTTCTTGAACCTGGCTCTTCCCAGTCCCATGCAGCACCTTAACACCACACTGGGTCTCAGAGGGTCCAATTGTGCCAGTTTGGTGTAGTGATTAAGATGCTGGCTAGAAAGCAGGAGACTGTGAGTTCTAGGCCAGTCACCCTCTCTCAGCCCAACCCACCTCACAGGGTTGTTTTTGTGGGGAAAAATAGGAGGCAGGAGTATTAGATATGTTCACCAGCTTGAATTATATATAAAAAAGCAGGAAGAAGGAGAAGAAGAGGAAGCAGCAGCAGCAGCAGCAGCAACATCTGCCTATCCCAAGTCCTTGGGACAGACTCAATAGGTGGATAAAAATGCCAAATCCAGTCTAAACAACTGGCTGACTGTGCGACCAACAACAACAACAATAATAAAAATCTTCTACCACATATTTTGAAATTATGAAGCTATGTGTGATGACAGAGAAGTGGAAAGGAAGGAAAAGATACTAGAGGTCTCCTAGTACAACACTAAATTCCACCCATAATGTTCAGCTTTTTGGATAGCTATTTCATGTCCTCCAAAAATGATCCTGAAGGAAACCATGTATCTTCTAATCCATCCTAACTTTGTTTCTTATACAATTACTTGATTGCTATTTCCAAAAAATTTTGCCAAGTCACAGATTTCAGGTTGAGGATTAAGCCTATACACTCTTTCATAACAAAATTTTGATTTTCCTTTTTAGAAAAGAAGCTGCCCTTAATATTGAACCATAATGCAGAGAGAACAAAATCTCTTTTATACTCTGAAACATGTTTAACTCACCAGCGTTGGAAAAATCATCCCGATTGTAACTCAAATCTTTCAAAAAGGTTATGCTTTCTGTTTCTGGATTGTAGCGCCTAGATGTCTCCAACAGCATCACCTTGAATATACACACACAACACACATACCCAAACCAGACACAATTATAAACCTGACAATAAAACCAATTAAAATGTTTTTGTACTCACAGTCCATATCATAAGTTATGAAATAAACTATGATACATCTGCTGCTTTTGATAACAAAAGAGATTAGCAAAAAGAATTTGTATCTTTGATACATCTGTTTTGCTTTGTTTTTCTTATTTATTTATCTTGTAAATTACCTTGAACATTCAATAAGTATAGAAAATTGAGTCATAAAGTGAGTAAATAAATACACAACATACAAAAACAATTTTTCTTGTCCTCTCCTTTCTCTCCAATCCTTCCTACACTCAAGTTTCTCCTAAGCTTTAGTGATTTCTCTGTGACTGATGCAGAGGCAACTTCATGAGTTAAAGCCCTTCTCATGACAACAGGGTGGGAGTCATTCAAATCTCAGGGGAAACCTCATCCAGAGGGCAGGTGCTGTGATAGAGAAGATGTACTTCCTGGGTACTGATAGATGACACTGTTTAATCTTAGGAACCTGGAGTATGCCAATCCTTTCAGCCCAAACTGGCCAGGCAGATACCATGGGAGACAGGTGGCCCCTCAAATAACTGGGCTGTATGTCATGTAAGGCACTATAGGTCATAACCAGCAACTTGAATTACGTATGGAAACAATCTGGCAACCAATGCGGTTTGCAGAGCAGAAGTGTCACCTACAGTTGTATGCTACAACTGCCATAAAGGAAGGAAATGATGGTCAAACACCGTTTTCTAAAATATACCCTGCTTTGGAAAGCTAACATTAGAAAACTTTAACTTAAAATTAATTGTTTGCTCATTAAGCATATGATTTTTAAAATGCTTTTGGTCCTAAAATTGTTGCATTCAAACATTAATAAAAATAAAAAGCTTGTCTCCTTTGTCATTAGATGATGATACAAAAAGAAACTGCAAATATGTTCTCATTGTTGTGTATGATAATGTTGCTCCTTCGAAGAAAAGTGTAGGACTTACTTCTATTGTAGAAGTCTTCAGAAGAGCAATCTGGTCTTCTCTAGTGAGTTCCAAGAAGCCTGGCAACTGTTTTGCAAAGTCCACAATTTCCTGCACAGAAATGATGGCAAGCTCTGTGAAATGAGCAAAGCGCTGTTGTCTTGCTTCACGGTGAAGAGGATCTGAAATCTGAGGCCATGGCTGCAATTGAGTCACAAAGCCACAGAGAGAAAAAGAAGACTTTAGTAACAGTAGAAAGAAAAAACAAAAAGTCCATTGAAATTAGTATTCCCATTCTCACACATTATCCCATTGCTCTCATACAAGTCTGATCTAAACAAAACTATTATATCTGCTTAATAAGTTATAACTAGTTACCATACAACCCCTCAAGAACATGTTACATAGTCCTTTGGCACTGGCAATCCAGGTGAGTCACTCCACTTCAACACAAGCAAGTTTCCACCAACCATCCTTTCAGGCCTTTGACCCCAACCACTGAAAGGTAAAAGCAAGCTCCTCTCAGTCTATTAAGCAGAGCCCCTTGGGTCTCAGGAGACTATTAGAAAATGAATGCAGTGTCTATTAAGAATGGGATATCACTCCACAAAGTTAACCAACATGTGAACTATATAAAATCAAAAGAAAACTTTAGTGAAGGTAAGTGTGCGTCTGCTTTCTCCCTCTGTTTTACAGTCCACCAAAATTGTGCTTTTACCGTCACTTTGAGTCTATCCGTGAAAGACCGTTGATTACACTGTTGTTGAGCTGCAACAAGCTTTTCTATCATAACAAGCTGCTCTAGTGTCATTTTGGGAGAGGTGCTTGGAGGAGATGGTGGGTTCTGACGCATAGCTATCATCCGGGCTTGATCATCTTCCCGCTTCTTAAGCTTCTTCAGCTGGATCTGCTCTTCAGAGAGAACACCTAAATGTAGAGCACAGGGCAGATAAGAATCAGTGATACCATGGCTACCAACCTAATCAAAGTACATAATCATGTTTGCAAAACCTCAAAGACAATTTTTCAACATTTTAGGCCAGAAACATGAAGTCTTGGCATTTCTTGTTTCTTAAGTACCAAGCAGTTTAACTCTATATTCAAGGATGGTATTTACATTAACAATAGTTATAAAATCACTTGTCTTCTTTTAGCTCCTGTACACTGGCAGTTCATTTTCATGCACCAAAATAAATCAGAACACTGGTCACTTACTATGAAGGTTCCTTCCAGCTTGATTTACAGAGACCTAAAACAATGGATAGCTCTATTGCCCATGAAATGTTGGAATCACCTCATCTAACCTTGACAATTAATACTGCTGGTCTCGCAGTCACCTCTCTGTTCTCTAGCCCTGTCCATGAATAAATTGTACATAATTTGCAGTGAGGAATCCAATCACACAGATAAGAAAAAAGAGAGGGAAAATATATCCTTGACCAGTCTCAAGGCTCTATTCTGGGGGCCAGATTAAGCTCAAATGGCCAACTGCCTTTTCATCACTGAGGTTTATCCTATAAGAAAGGTGAAAAGGAACAATGACACCAGAGGGAACCTTCACATTAAATCATCAAAATACCATTCAGTGTTGTGTTTGGTGTGAAAAAGAACCTAACAATGAGATGCATGACAGTTTGTGACAGAGGAAGCATCACCTGCACAACTTAATATGGATGAGTATCCTAGTGACTCAAATAGAGAAAATGTCCAAGAAAAAGCATTTGGTCAAGCAGGTAAAATGGTGCAGGAAAGGATTCTGGGAAGACACTGATAGCAAATTTGAGAGAAAGCATTCTACATTCTAGACTGGCATTTTGTGAAACCATTATCAATTTAAACCAGAACTAAAAAGAACAAAAAATGAAAATTATTGTAGTCATTCGTACATACATTGACCTCAAAAAGAGTAACAAGGTTGTATAGATGCTGCATAGAGATTCCAGATACTTAGGAGTAAGATTATACTTATATTACCTGTCATAAGATTGTATACATTGATAAGCATGTTTAAAATAAGAATATTTTATGATTTGGGAGAATATGTTGTCATATAGTCCCATTTTTACCTTTGGTGAAACAGTCATGAATTACTAAATAACGTACCCAAATCTAAGAAAAGTACAAAATGGAACTTGTGCAGGAGCCACTTCAATTATCCAAAATGGAAAGCTAATTCTAGGATGGATTGACCTATTAAACTCTTTTATAAAAACTTTAGTGATTTGTTTATGTGAATATAATATAATACTAGCTTATTTTGTTATCCTATTTATTAGATTGGCCTGTATTATCCCATAACAGATTTGTGTTTTAATAAAAAGGTTTTTTTTCTGAAGATAAATACTGTGAATCTAAGACTCCAGTTTGACGCTGCACTTCAAATTCTAAATCTGTCCAGTGTTAAGCAAATGGCTTAGCTAAAATACACTCACGAACTGTTGTGATTACTGGGTGGGGTATCAATAACTGGGTCTTAAGAAGAAGGGCCACCTTTTGCAGGATCTGATTTCCAAAATGTGTCTGTTTTCTAACATATAATAAAAGTGTTAGGATTCGATCATGTTTGTGAAGAACACAGCTGCCATGTGAAGTCTGCTATTAGGTGGAACCCAGGCTGGTTTACCATTTAGTAACAGGGCTCAATACTTGGCCCTGTAATCACTTTGGAAGCTGTTGTACTCCATAAGCATAATTTAAGGCACTTGGCAAAGAGAACAATTTGGGATTTTTTCCATACTGAGACTGGAAAGAAGGAAACATTTAGGAAATCTATCTGGTAAATTAAAACATGCATTTTAAGGGCTCTGCAAATATCCAGTTCACGCTACATCCTATTAAAGGAATGTGAAAGACTAGGGTAGGAGCAGTGTAAGATGCGCTCTTACATTCAGTGAAAAAGTGAATTAATTTTCAGAACAGAGAGGTTCAGAATCCCTTTGAAACAAACAGAAGTGTTCACTAATTAAAAACAAAAAACAAAATAGCAGCTTGGATGTTGTCCCAGCCTAATCTGAGATAAATAGTTCAGTATTAATGTACTTAGATATTCTGAATTTAGTGAAAATTCAAATAAAAAACAATTTAAATAATTTAATGTAAGCATATTTTATTCAAACTGCTTGCTTTAATATATTATTTTATGGGCTGACTTGGGGTTCTGTAAGTACTTACA